CCCAACCAGCCAGCCAGCCAGCCAGCCAGCCAGCCAACAAACTAACCAATGAACCAGCCAACCAACCAACAAACAAAAAAAAACAAAACAAAACCAAAAAATGCCCCAAAACAAAAACAAAACAACAACAACAACAACAAAAAACCCAAACAAACCAAAACCAAAACCAACCAACAAAACCCTTTGCCCAGTAGGAAGTTGCCATTATTCTGGATCTTTTCTTGACATCTCTGCTCCACCATCTTTCTTTCCCAATCCAAGTATCATAAAAATTCATTTTATGAGAGGTTTTCCCCTCTTAGTTATATTGAAAGGGAGGCTATACAACCCTGTGGTTAGAGTCTGAAAGCAAACGAGCCTGCTTTGTTATATTGTAGTTAATTTTTTAAAGGCAACCCTCCCCCCAAACAAACAAACAAAAACAACAATAATACCCCCCCCCCAAACAAACAAACAAAAACAACAATAATAAAACAGACCTAAATCAGCCTGCCTATAGATAGTATATGACTGAGAAACACTGAAACATAAAAACACATTTTTGATTTTGTTTTTATTGTGTTTAATTAAAAGACTTCTCAGAACCCTTAAAATGTGAATCCACTTAAGCTGCTCAATACCATCACTGATACCCAATGTAGCTAATACCAATTTGACATGAAAGTTAAAAAAAAAAAAACCTAGATAATCTCCATACATTGCCATTTCTTACAGCACACTTGGAAAATAGAATAGTTGTCAAAAATCTGCATGTGTGATTTTCATAGTACTCTACATCTTCTTTGTCTTATGGTTATTTATATATTACTTATTTTCCTGGCTGAGCATTGTAAGATCTTGAAGACAGAACAGATTGTTTAATTGAAAATCATGGAATTTCAATTAAGCTTCATGGTTAGGAACATTTGATAATATTCTAAGAGCATGATCTTGTATCTTATTTCAGTGTTTTGTTTCCCATCCTTTTTATACCATAGTATTCTGGGCTATCTTTTAGGCCGGAAAAATATTAGTATTTTGGTGTTGGCAGAAAGCTGTGGTTAATACCAGGGTAAGCAAATTATCTCTACAAAACACTGGCAGAGCAGTCCAAAAAGGAGAATGTAAAGACGGAGTTGAATTTTTAAGGGCAAGAAAGCAGGCAACCGCTAACTCCAGGTCTTGGGACCCACGAGGGTATTGGAAAGGCAGCCCCTGCCTTAGTGCTTGCTCTCACTTCCAAGGGTGTGCTTGTCAAAAAGGTACTCCGCTAGGCCAACAGCTGGAGCCCCCATGGTGACTAAGTTGTGCACGTGGTCACCTAATTCTTTGATAGACTTCACCTGCTCATTCAGGTAGTGTGTTTCCAGAAAGTCGCACAAATGAGGATCTCCTTTTTCTGAGGCCAGAGTATGCAGGTCCAGCAGCGACTGGTTTACACTCTTTTCCAGGAGCAGAGCACATTCCATGGCCCGCAGTCCGCTCTCCCAGTCATCTTGCTCTGGCTTCTTGATATCCTGGAGGCAGATCCGGCCTCCGCGTTGGTTCTGCAGCTTCATTAGCTTCTCTGCATGCTCCCTCTCCTCCAGCGACTGGCGAAGGAAAGACTTGGAGAAGTTGTACAAGGCCACATCATCCCTGGAGAAGTAGTAGGCCATGGACAGGTACACGTAGGATGCGTAAAGCTCCATGTTGATTTGGTGGTTGATGGCTGCCTCAGAGTCTGGGTGAAAGTTGTGGCGCACCCTGGCAGTTCCATCAGAGCCCTGGGAGGAGGCCACCGAGGCCAGCAGACGTCGAGGGGAGGCGGGTAGTAAAGGATACCTGGAGGCCAAACACTGTGGGACAGTGCACCTGTGTAGCACACGGGGCAAGGACATCAATGCAGGGCCGATGTGCTTGGAGAAGAACCAGAAACCAGACAGCATGACTCCTCTTGTTTGAAAGTAGGGGAAACTGAGGCCAAGAAACCTCGGTACAAGGTCTGCCGCTGAGCATCAGGTCTAAATGAGAACACAGCCTTAGCGATCACCTCTGCGTCACACGGCCCTTCTCTTCCACGATGCAGAGTTCTAAGAGATCTTGGCCGCCGATGCTGTGTAACTGTCATTTGTCAGGTAGGCTTGAATGTGGCACTGAGCCCTCGAAAAAGGGACACAGATCCCATTTACATGCTGAATGACTAACCCAAGACTCTGGTCTAGATAGCGTGTAGTTGATTAGTTTACCTAATTAAAATTCTGTTATTAAGAGTAGGCTCAGTGACTCTGAGGCAACCGAAGAAAGGACTGAGCTGCCCCCTTGTCTCTGTTCACTAATCTTTTCCTGTCTAAGAATCTAAGGGCAAGGAAGACACAATAAATCTTCATATGCAAAGTGTTACAAACGACTCCTGGTTATTTTAACAAACGTAAGTAGGGAAATAGTTACCAATGTAACGGACAACGCCTAAACTGTAATAGACTGCTTTTAAAGTGCAGAACTTATCTTTCTTGTAAAGAAGTTATACTTTTGAAAAGTAGACTGCATAGTGGCTCTAAGCTTGTTTTTACTCTATTTTTTTTGTTAATGTAGAGATAGATGCATTTTTCAAAGAACCCTAAATTCTGAAGATTCAGTGGCGGTTTTCTGTAGTCAAAACTGGGGTTGAATTCTGTGTCTTTCTGCCTCCCATCTCCCAAGAGGTGAGAGTGCAGGCACATGTCACCATTCTACTCAAGGAAGAGATTTATTCTTAAGTAGATGTTTAAAAATTGTTTGGGGTATTAAGAAATGAAAATAGCTGTTGGAAAATGTGGGTGATGATTCTCACCGATCAAGATGATAGCAAAAAACAAAAGCAAAAAACCAAAAAAAAAAAAAAAACTTAATAGAGGCATGCATAAATATTTAAGAAGATTTATCTAAGACTAATTGACATATATTAAATTTCAGGTATTTGTCACAGTTTCAGTATGACATCCGTGAAACTACCAGCTAAACCCAGACAATGACAACATTTGTCACCTACTTCTGTGTCCTTTTGTGTTTCCTAATTCTGACTCCTCCAGTCTGGTCTCACTCCTGACATCCACTGATCTGCTTTGCCTCACTCTAGAAGTTGTCTAGTGTCCTCCACACTGTAACTAACCCCAGGCTCACAATAATAAAGTCTGTTTATGCTGGAGTATACTGATATTATAGTTTGTTTTTGTGGCTGTGCAACATTATGAAGATAAAACCCAATTTGTCTTACCTTCTGATGAACAGTTTGGTTGGATACAGTTTAGGCTATTAAAATCAAGCTGTGATTGACTTTCCTGCACAGGTGTTTGTGAGTTCATATGTCTTTCTCTTGGGTAAATAAAGTGGTCAGATAATATGTTATGTATTTAATTATTTACAAATTGCACAACATTCCCCAAAGTTCTCATACCATGACTTTTTTTTTTTTTTTTACATGCTTAGTCCAAGTTCCTCTTGGAGCTTGCTGCCCCTGGCATTATCATTCATTTAAATTATAAAATATGGTCATTGTGATAGGTGTACATTAGTATTGTGTTTTTGTGTCCTCAAGATAAATGACAGGGTGTTACCCTGTGCTTCTTTGACATTATCTTTTATGAGGTATATGTTTAAGTATTTTATCATATATATATTTAGGCATTTTGTTTGCTTGTTTGTTTGCTTTAGGAGCCTTGATTTTCTATTCTCTGCATCTTTGTTCTTAGCACTGATTGTATTAAAATCTTTTTACATTGCCTCTTTATATCTCTTTTTTCTTTTTCACAAAGGTGTTTCTAGTTTCACATGGTGTTTCTAGTTTCTTCAGATGCTAATTTTTGATATTCTTAGTGTCCCCTAGGTGCTTAGAAAGTTAAATCATAGTATGCAAGTGCTTGTAATGCAGTGCTTACCATAGAATGAACACTCATGTATTCTCTAACACATCTTACTGAATACTCTTGTTTAGTTTTCCAAAATCCATCATTTTATATTATTCAGTAAGCAGATATTACTGTGATTAAAAGCATAATGGGATGGCCTGTTTAGACTACTAGAAACATTTACCTGCATTATAAAGCATTGCTATCATGTATGAATAGTGGGGAATTACTTTATTCTATGAGAATATCAAATTTGTAGTTTTATAGTTAGCTCACTCCTCTCAACTGAGCATTCTAATATATATCATAAATAAAAGTGTGTGCTTAAAATTAAGAAAGTAGTAGTACATGAATGCTCTTTACCCAGCGATCCTTCATGGGTTTTCACTTTTCTAATCCCATTTTACTTTCATTTCCTCCAAGCTTTTGCCATTTGTGAAATGTAATTTCCTAATGAGAGATTATGAAAATGACTGTTCAGAGTGATATTAACACAAACTTGCTGCTGCTAGTTAGTGTTTCAGGAAAATTTATGACATTCATTTAAGTGTTCAGCCCCAATATAATAAAATACATAGATAAAACGAGTGCTGTAAGAGATATGTGATGCAAGGCAGTGCTCCAAATAGCATGTACTTAGACAGAGAACAGTAACTGGTCAAAACATCTGTTTTCCATGACAAAGTTTGCCATCTAATTAGGCAGACCTTAAAAATGTAAGAATGTGCATGGTAGGTGTTTTGTTTATTTTATGAATATTTTTATATCTAGTATTTACAGTAAAATCAATTAAAAAATACTATACAGACCGAGACCATCACACACTGTTATTCTCTAGACATTTCTTCTTAGATTTAATGGCCTCTTCTTTCCCTTGAGTACCTTTTTAAACATCTGTACTTCTCTGGGGCTCCCTGTGCAGCTTCACATTCCTCTTCACTCATTCCAAATTCCTTCCTGACATTTTTTTATTACATAATGAAATCTTTCACATCCTTTAAAATTCCATCAAGTATAAACACAAGTATTTTTTTTAAAAAAAGGATTTTGTATAGCAGCATTCAGAATTAAACACCCCTTTGATGTCAAACAGTTAATTATATTGAGAACTCATTGTGTTACAATTACAATATACAAGAATGTGTGTAAGTGTGTAAGCATGTTTTCATTAGCAGAATATATTCTATTCCTTTTAAATTTTCCAGGCTTACCACAGTGTTTTATACACATTAACAATGCATAAAATAAATGTTTTCAGGTGCCTAAACAAAATGGAACAGAAATTCACATATATCCTTTTGGATTAGCTGAATTACTTACACAAACTATTTTGAGGGGGATGTGTTTACTGCAATTTGAATTCTGTGAGTTTTCACAGAAAGTCTCTATAATTTGGTTGGCTCAGATTCTAAAGGAAAACAACATTTACTTTTTCCTCCTCTGCACATATATCAGCAATAAGCTATTATCATCTGTGTAGATATCTTTGGCCAATGGGAAATTAAAGACTCGAATAGAAGTAAATTGTTTCAGTTAACTCAGGCTTTGATTTGTGCAGTGCATAATAGTAAATTTTCTATTCATGTATTAAAAGCATTTTATTTTATAGAGTAAAGGTTTTGAGAATGTACTTAGATTGGAAAAACTCCTTTACATTTGTAGAGAAGGGCAGAGACAGAAATAATGAGGAAAAGAAAAGAACAGTATCCCTACCCCTTTGTACTTGTAACTTTAATAAGAATAGTTTCCCATTTTTCTCATTTCCTTTAATCAAGACTTTTACACAGTAGAACAAGTCACATAAGCAGTTTCATTAGTTATGCTGGTGTTTTTTGAAATTACGTATCAAAATGCTTCCATGACAAATTTAATATTGAGATAAATCCACGGATGACTATTGTATGACCCCAAATCACAACCCTCATGTCAATTGGGATGAAAGAGTTTATTCTAGAGCCAACTATGAATGACCATTGCCCAGGAACACATATTTGGTTTACCCCAGATTCCATGTTCTAATATAGAAGCAGCTTTGTGAAGTTTTCATAGTAAAAGAACAATGTTGCTCATAAATCAAGATACTTTTCTTTTTTATTTTAAGGAAATATTTTCTAATATTACATGGTGGAAACATTAAGCAGGTGGTCATAGCAATGTGAAAAAAAAAAAAAAACCACTCAGCTATCAGCCTTGGATGCTATCTGATGACTCAGTCTTTTCACCGATGAAAACTATGGTTTCCAAAAGGTTTTGTCTGGTACTCTCAGGATGTTAAGTCTGACACAGAGTTGTGCAAATAATGACTATTTTAGATGGCTAAACATAGCCAAGATGGATTGTAATTAGGTTCTGGACCTGTAACATCGGAAACTCCTTACACTCATGGAAGCTCTAATTAGTTCTAATCAGCCTTGCAAAAGGTTTCAGTTTGAAGTTGGGCTTCTTTCCAGGAGCTTGCATTTACTATACATATGTCTTTGCTATGACTGATGTCTTTGAGCATTTTAAATAAAAAATATTAGGGTTTTGTTTGGGGAACATATGTTTATTGTATACATTGCTAATCTGAGTTTAATCACTAGGAAATCTGTAAGAGAATGTTTGGATACAAGTATGGAAGTTTTGTTTGTTTGCTTTCTGCTAGAATCCACTTAAATGTGAAGGTGTGTGTGTGTGTGTGTGTGTGTGTGTGTGTGTGTGTGTGTGTGTGTGTTTGTGTGTGTGTTTGTGTGTGTTTGATAACTTGAAAATTCAGCCAGAATCAAACTCCAAAGCACAAGATATGGAACTGGAGGAAGCCTAGAATATTTGATTTCGATTCATATTATTCACCTAGAATTTGGGGTGCAAAGTGAATAATCCCCTTCATTACTTTTGAATTAATTATTGCAGTCATTAAACCACCAGATTCCTAAAATAGCTCATTCACTCTATTGGTTAACTCCAAAGCTTTCAGCTAAATCCTAAATAACATTCTAATATGATGCTCTGTGAAATGTTAAAAAAAAAAGCCAATGTCTTTGGATTTATTGTGACAGGGAGCAGGGCACTCAGCATATCTT